TCTGTTCCTGTTTGCAAATGCTACTTGTGGCTACTGCGCACTTGTACACATCCCTGTAGAAGAAACATTCTCCAAGCCTGAGTGAATCTAAAGAAGTTGGTCTGTGGTGGAACAGTCGGATCCAATTCCCCAGAATCTGAACTCATCTGAATCTGGTGCAGTTTTCTCTTACATCCCTATGTGCACGTAATTTGCAATTATCTTCTTGAATTAAGGTAATAATCTAGTTTGAAGCACTTTAGCTTTAAGGGGGAAAATAACTTTTTAGAGCTGTTAATAAAAAGCTTACGCTAAAGTGTAGTCAAGATGCATTGTACATTCTTTTCTCTTTTCTGAAAGTAGAATATATTCTCTGTCATTACCTATTTTAGGTTTATGATGAAGTTGCTGTTTTGTAGAAAGTGCATGAGTTACGGATACTGTAACCAGCATTTGGGGTGTTGGCTTAAGGTTGTGCTGCAGTAATTGATTTACAGCGGTCCGTGTAAACCACATGGAGCACTGTAGGAGCGTAGCTACGAGTAGCTGCACCTGTATTTCTCAAAGCGAGCCTTCAGAAATTCTCCACTCAGCATAATCCTTCTCTCAGTTTTGAGCTGAAAAGAATAAATCATGAACCTACTTCATGGAAGGAATTTTTATTGTTTGGGGACTCAACATTCTTCATATGCTCTCCCCAGCATTTAGAGAAGCAGTGGATTTAGTTCAGACTGTTTACACTGCAAGGCTTTAGGGTGGCCAGATGTTCTTTACAGAGGTCAGTTCTCTATTTGAAGGGCTGCCCAATCCAAGTCAGGTTTCATGAACTCTCTGAAAGAGCCTTGAAGTTGCCCATCGTGGGCAAATATCTGAGCAGGCACAGATGGGTCGCCTGTGACCTACTGAGGCTCAGTGCATTCCATTTCTGCTTTAGTTATAGTAATGCTTTCTTGCTTTGCATTCATACAAATAAATCAGCAGATGCCAATGATTTGCAAGTCAGTGCCCCCTTTTCCTCCTCTCCTGGTGTTACACATTTCTTCTTTTTAGGTGGTATGTAAGTGGCCACCTTACAAATGGTCTTAAAGCAATTCATGCAAGGTATGGTGTGGTGGTTAGAGGGTTGGACTGGGGACCTGGGAGATCCAAGGTCTAGTCCCCACTCAACCATGAAACTTTGAGCCATTCACAGACTCCCAGCCCAACCTACCTCCTGTTGTGAGGATAAAATGAAAGGGTTTGGGTTCATTGCCAAAGGAAGAAAGGTGGGTATAAATATAATAAGTAAATAAATAGATAATTTTAGCCAGGGAAGATATTCTGGTATGAGGATTGTGGAATTTGATTACAGTTCTCTTCCATCTCAGTTAACCAGCTTGCAACTGTGAGATACGAGGTGTGCAGGTTCCTCTGAAGTTAATGAGGTCTCAGTTCATTGTGAATAATGAGTCTCAGATTTCAGCAGGGCTGGCCCTTCCATGTAGCCTCATGCAGCCAGCTGTGGCAACAACTATTACTTCTTTAATCCCTTATTAATGCATTTTTACTGTCCAGGAGGGTGTGTGTGAGATGTTTGCCACCATAATTGGCTGGCCTTGGGCGCTTTGCGTACATCTGGAGAGCAAGGATCAGCAGAGGAGGATGCCCCGATTTAGAGCTGTCAGGACATGCTCAGAGATTGGTCTGCTGCACACCAGCACTTCGTGTTGTCACCCTTCTTCTGGCAGGGCCCCGGTGTTAGGAAGCAGTCGGGGTTGGCTGTTCCCTTCGGCAGAATGAGGCAGCCACTTTGAACAGCTGTGGTGCTGGGTCTCATCACATGGCTGCTGACTGTATTTGCTCGAATGATGTTTTACTGGCAGGGGTGGGGGGTGGGGGTGGGGGAGGCATTGTGGAATGCCCTGCCAAAGAATGGGATGGCCATGGACACCGCCCACCATGATGGTGACGGCACCATCTGTTGTGCTAGCACAGGTGGCAGGTCTTGGGTCAGCCCTGACTGCAACTAGCCATACCTGGATGAGGACGGTGCTCTGTGTATCCAAACTGAGCCATCTCACCTGTTACTCTAACTCTGGAGCATTTATGACCAAGTTAAAAAGCACTGATCCTAGAGCTGTTCCTTGGGGAACCCCTGTGCTTATATGCCTCAATTTTTGAAAAGTGTTCATTCATTCTTATGCTCTGTTTCCTGTCCCTTAGCTTGTTACAAATCCATAAAAGGATATCTTCTCTCATCCCTAAGTCTGTTCAGGAGTGTTTTGTAATAGACTTTGACCAAAGCCAGTGGAAAGACTGAAAAACAGTATCTGCCAGTATTGCCTCTATCCACATGCTTGTTAGGACTTTAAAGGCACTCTAAAAGACAGAATTTACTCTTGCAGAAATCACACTGAATCCTTTTCAGTAGGCTTTTTACTTCTATATAATTATCAATGTCATCTTTAATGAAAATTGTGACCAATTTACTTGAAAGAGTTATTAAGTTAACTGGCGTGTAATTTTAATTTAAAAATTTAATAAAATTTGTTGGAATGTTCTGTTAATAAAATGTTGTTTTTTTCAAATTTTTTAAAAGACCCCCTTTAATCATCTGATAGTCTTACATATTTTTGCTAGAAGCTCAACAGTTTCACATTTGCATTCTTTACGAATGCTAGCGTTTGGACTGGGTGTCTATTTTCTGTTTGTCAGCAAGGTCTCCTGCCCTGTTTTTCTCCCTGCTGTCTTTATTCATCCTTCTCACAGGGGCCATAATGTAGCGGTAGAGCTCATGTAGTATATGCTGAACATCCTAGGTTCAGTTCTTGGCATTTTCAGTTTTGAAAGGAGATCCAAGTGGCAGGCTGGCCAGTCAGCATGGCTAGCACTGGGCCAAATGCAGCCACAGTCAGTCTGGTGTCAATACTGGGCAACGTCTTTATGGAATATTGTCGCATTCTTTTAAAGGCTCTGCAGTGATACTCTGTAAATCCCATGTATTATGGGATTTCTGTATAGGTTAATCTATAAAGCCCTTTGTGTGCTTCTGAAATTCTTAGCCTAAGGATACACACCAAACAGCCCAATCCTATGAGGTTTTGTTGTTGTTGTTGCACAAAAATGTAGCTTAGAAGTATAGAGGCGTATCCAAGTATGGCTCAAGAGCTGGAGAAAGTACACTCCCTGGACACCCTTATTGAAATTACAGCAGGGCCAAGGTTGAAGACATCATCTTAGACATGAGGAGGTGAAACTTGCCAAAATCTGTAACTTGCTGATTGGCTATTTAGACTTGTACATCCCTTGGAGAGTGGAGGGCATAACTGTTGAGAACAGGAGGAGAGTGGGATGAAACTCTTTTGTATGGCGTTAGCCAAAGCTTCACCCGCTGCAGCTGGTTTCTCGATTAAAAAAACCTCTTGGCTCAAGAGTCGTTGGTGTGTTAGCATCTCCCCTGAGATGAAATGAGATTGGGGATCTTTTCCTCTCAGGTAAAACAAACATGTGGATATTTTCATGACATTTTCATATTTTGTTGCTTACAGCCTGGCACTGAAATGGATTTAATTGGAATTGTTACTATTTGATGTGCACAAGACACTCAGTACTGTAAAGGAGCAAAATATGTTTTTATCCAGGCACCAAAGTTAAGTAAACAAAAATGAAGCAGCACTGTTGGGGTGCACAAAAACAGACTGGGAAGTCCGAGTGCAGAACAGTGATGTCACACAGGAATGCTCAGACAGAAAAAATGGCCTACAACTCCCAGAACGCTCTAGCTAGCTATGCTGGGACATGTCTGGAGTCATAGACTTTTCTCATGTTTAAACTTGCATACGATTGTGCCCTTATGGTTACAAATCAAACTTTTGCTCTATTTCCCCAGAATTTTAATGTGAAGCACTTTTAAACATCTCATATATTTCTTCCTCTCATCAAATCCCTGTAGCTGATTTTATTTCTTCTCTTATAGGCATGAGCTGTTTCATATTTTCTTTTATTGTTTTCTTTTTTAGTATTGCTCTTTGCATCTTAGTTTACATGAATGCTGTCTCTGTGGAGAGACAAGTTTACAAATGGTTTTAAACAAACAACCAATAAACAAATCATGATTCTAATGAGCACAGGGGGATTGCAATGCTGCAGGTAGCGCAGAACTTAAACAAAACCAGTTCATTTGTAAGGCAAATTAGGAGGGTTGTGTCAGTGTCAGGTTAGCTCTGTCATCAGGTACGTGCTGCAGTGTTCCCAGCTTTTATTCTCATACAGGATCCTGTGCATTGAACACATTTATAAAAGGCAATTACCAATGAACAGGGAAGCCTTTTCTAAGCACTTATTCCAGGGCAAGATATTTGCTGCCAGAGGTGGAGTAGCAGATACTGCCTCTTCCCTACTGGACTAGTTGGGTACTTGAGGCTGAGCATCTCACAAATGCCTCTCCCCTTCCATGGCAGTATAAAGGCAGTTCTAATAAATGACCTAACTAACCATGTGCCTGCCTTTGGCGGCACTATCAGGTAGAGGACTGCCATCTGACAACACTTCAAGTAGAGGACTGTCCTCTGCAAAGCATGGCACCCGGCCAGCTAGTGTGCGTTCCTAGAGCGCCCGCTGAGGTGAGGTGCCCTGTTTGCTGTGCAGAGCCCTCCACGCTCCCGACTGCAGACTACAGATCTTAGCAGAGCCTGGAAGTGCTTTGTGCCTGTTTGGCAAGAGGTCATCTTATGTCATGGTTCTTGATTTAAGAGGTACAACATGTACAGAGGCCCTTCCTCCCTGCATTGGTGCAGTAAAACCCTCAGCAAGCATAAATTAAATGTAGAAGGTACCCACCAAAATAACATAAATCCCCTAAGCATGCTTGCTGTTATTTTTAATTAAGGGCGAGGGCTTTCCGCCTGTTTTGAATCCAGTCAGAAGGGGTTTTGCTGTAGATTCCATCCAAAGGTTCTGGAAAAGAGCCTACCCTTTGTGGCCTCAAGGGAAGGTTCCCATCCTCCTTGTCTGAAGCAATCCTAGCTGGATCTTGAGTGTTTACACATTTGCTTCTACACACACACATTTATAAGCTATCCTTGTGCAGGGACCATGCTAGTCTTCTTGGTATCATTCCAGTTTTAGTATATTTGCTGCAAAGTAAGCACTGCATCCTACACGTTTGATAGGATTGTGCATAACATCTGAGTGGACATGAGAAAAAAAACCCCTCTTGTGGAAATGCTAATTTATCAAACACAGCGATATCTGCAACTTCCTTTGTGAGTTCAGGAAGGGGTGGCACGTGCTATCCTACTTTCCACCCTGCCAGGTAGCTCAGGCGGAGGTAGTGATTGGCACAGGGTTGTGCTGTGGACTTTATAGCTGAGCAGGGATTTAAATCCATGCTTCTCTGGCCCAAAGGCAACAGCCTGGACACACATAGGAAATGATCTAACAGTGCATTAGATCACTGGCCCATCTAAGTCCAGCACTGTCAATACAAACTGGTAGCAGCTTTCCAGAAGTCTTTCCCAGCTTTACCTGGAGATGCTGGGAAGGGAATCCAAGAGCTTAGTCATTCCAAACCAGGGCTCTCCTTCGGAGCCCTGGACCTTCTCGAGGCTCGGCTGGGAGGTGCTTGACCTCACAGGGAACATTTTTGTGTACCCTGACTGGAAAGCCATTTAGTCAGTTCTTCATTAACCCAGATAATCTCCTGGGTTACAACATCGGCTGACTGAAGTGAACATACTAAATAGATCACAGAGCCTGATCTTCATGCAGCCACGCTGCCAGGCTCCTACTCTGGCCAAATACTCCAGGGTGCTCCTTTCCCACAAACTCTCAGTGAACCTTGTAAAAGATTGGCTATTTTACCTGCCGCAGTAGATGGATGTAATCTCCATTTATCTTTTGTATAATAAATAATCCGAGTGATGTAAAGCATGCATTGCTTCCCTTTGCTGTCATGGAAATGAAGGAGCTACGTTTTCAGTAGCAGTTTGCAGAACTGATGGCCACCAGTGCTGCAAGTACATGTAATCGTGTTCCAGTGGTGCAAAATAAATCACGCCATCTCGTTTGAACTTCCGTCAACCTGCTTTTCCCACCCCAAGTGTAGCTGGTGATGACTCAGAGCCACGATGCTGAGTGTTGAAGCACTCTTCTCTGTATGGATGCATCGGCATTGATGTCTCTTTGCCTGGACGGCTACTCGACTGCTATGATCATATTTTCAGAATGGAACAAATATTTTGATTGCTGCCTGGGTATCCAAGGAGCAGAATCCCTTGGAGAGACGCCTGCGAAGGCAAAGGTCAAGGAGGCAAAGCAGTGAGAAACAGCAAAGGTGGGGTAGAAGTGTAATAAATGAAGGAAGGGCTCCATCCTGTTGATTTGGATGGAACTAACTGGTGCGTAAGGTTGATGCAAGCAGCCTTAGCTGCCTTAGGTTCCTTGCAGGAAAAAGGATGGGCCTTAAATATAATAAATGGATTTTTTAAAATGTGCACATGGTCAGGATTGCAGGCTTATTTTAATCTCTAGTTTATGTCTTGGTCGCATGCAATCTGTTTAGGCTTTGAATTCATCTGCAGAGGAAACATGTCTTGATTACTCTTTCAAATTTACATGCTGTGGCCCTTTGGACCTCCCCACAGCACAGATGCGTAACCCTCCACTTCCAAGGAGGCCGGATGGGTGTGTGGTGTGTGCATCTGTGTGCATCTGAGCCCTGACCCTGACCCAGCACTGCATGCAGCTCTCCGGGCAAAAGAGTCGGTGCCTCCCCAGCCTTGTTGTTCACGTTGGCATGGTGCGCAGAAACTCTTGCGTGCCGCCTCCTTCTTTCCATGGGATGCTCATCGGCAGCTGTGAACTGTTCTGACCTGACCATCCGGCCAAGCAGTTGTTTGCCTGGGCAAGTACCTTCTCTGTTGGAGTCAATAAATTATCTTAATTCTGTTCTGGCAAACATCGTGTGTGATTACTGTGCCCAATCCAGGTGTGAATTCTGTTTTCTTCCAGGAGCGTTTGTTGAGGGTAGGGAATGTGGCTGGGTTTTCAGGTGGCTCAGTGCCATGTCTGGTGCCCTGGGTTAGGTGGGTGCAGGTCGGGTGAATTTAAAGTCACCTCTGCCCGCCTGTCTGTTCTACCCCATTTCTCCCTCCCCATTTACTCTTCAGCTGCCTAATTTGCTTGCACATACAGCACTTGGGGTTTAAAAGACCCCCACTGACAACTTTGAAAGCCTTTTTAAATGTCTAATTGCAGCATGGGAGAGGGGTTTCCTCCTTCCTTCCCCAGCTGCAGATTGCCTCCTGGCAGGGCAAGTTCAGCTTTAAAGCTTGCCTCTGGTACTAATGGTGGCTTGCTGTGTGTGTCACAGGACCTAGAGCGCCTCGTTGCTGGCTGTACCCTCACCTGCTCCAGACTGAGATTGTTTTCTCCCTCCCCACCAGGTAAATAAAAGGGTGGTGTCTGAGCCAAGACACAACACCTTGATGGCAGCCAACGGGCGAGGGCTCAGGGAACCTTGTCCTGAAGCTGCCATCTGTGGGTGAGGAGCCAGGAATGGAGTTCTATCAAGTTGGCCCCACCCTGAAGGAGGAAGGACATTCAGCCACAGCAAGATGGGAAACCTTTGGTGATTAAGGAGCTCAGATAAAAATAATCATGAGAAGTGCACAGAGATGTGAGAGCAACCTGTCTTGTAAAAATCAGAACAGAGAGAAAAAGTGACAGACATTAGTAATACTGCGATAAGGGAAGAGATAGCTGATTAAAATGACCCACACGAGACAGCCATAATATGACAGTAATCTTACCTAACTTTCTAGAGCCCATATAAAATTGTTACTTTGACTAGCTTGAAGTAATTGGTGTATATTTGCCTCCAGAGTAGCCCTCCACCCAGTTCTCAAACAACCCTACATATCTAATGGGGTTAGAGATACTGAATGAACTGCTTTGGCATTGCATGAATCTCTACAGTGGTTCATTTTAAATGCCACACAAGGAAGTGTCAATATTGATGGCCTTTAAAAAAAACTCCCCTGATTTACAGTACACAGTTCTTGTTTTCATAAAAATGTTTCCTGGTCATCATTGCAATTGGCACATTTTGCTCCTGATAAGAAACTTGATGGGAAACGTGTCAGAAGAGTACCTGTAGGTGTTTGGTTTTGTTTTTGTTTTTTTTCGGGAAGGACCTTTTCTCCCTCCCTCTTTTAAAAGTGTTTATTATATTGTGCAGTGTGTTTTATCTATTGCTCTGCATATTTCTCATGAAATGTTCTCAAGATGATCTTATTCCCATCCCATAATTAAAGTCAGAAGGAAGTTTAAAACTAGAATGCAATAAGACTGGATAATCACAACACAGCCATAGAGACTGTCGTTTAGAAGGCCTGGCTGCAGTCCAGCGCAGTCCGATCTTAGATGGTTCATGAACCTATTAAAAGACCAATTGTGTCTTCTGGGAGGCCTCCTAGATTCCGTGCTGACAGGGGATGTCCAGGTGGCTGCAATGTCCAGGAGTGTGTTTCGCTAGCATGGCCTGGGAAGCCAGCTGTGCTCCTACCTGCAGATGTATGCATGCATTAGTGGCCTCCAAGATGGACTACAGTAATGCACAGCATTTGGGGCTGCCATGATTTGGAAACTTCTATGGCTGCCTGAGTGTTGCTGGGTGAGGTGATCAAATCATATAATGTCTATAACTGTAATTACTGCTATGTATCCAAGCCCTATTTAAAGCACAAGATCCGATCGGTAAAGTACAGAATTTGACTGAACAATTTGGGGCCAAATCACCTGAAGGACTACCTTCATGCATATCAAGCTGCTCACCCTTTAAGATCATCATGAGAGGCCTTTCCCACATGCCTATCTTTAAAGCTAGTTAGGTGGGTAAATACATAAGAGGGTGGATTTTTTCTGCAAAACAGATTTATAAGATATGATCCACCTTTTCTTCCTCTCCTGAAACTGGGTGGAAGAAACAGAGATAGCTGGAGAACCTGGGGTTCAATAAAGGAACACTCCCAATCACCAACAAGCTTCCCCACCCCTTCTAAAAAGAACACGTACACATTGGTATGTATTTACTGCTAATGGAGAACATGTTTGTGCCTGATGTGCATATTAAGAGCATTATTTAAGAACAGTTCATCCTTTTGTACACATCACTCCATCCTTGCTACTGAAGTCTGTTTTGGATTTCTTCTGGGAATGTAATTACAAAGTGCTCACAAGGTACTTGGTGTTTTGTGATACAAAATTATTTGGGCTGGGTCCAGCCGAAGTTAAGCACTCTGGCACCTCATTTATTTCAGTGGAAGGTATTTGCCTAGTTACCTGAAGGTAAGGCTTCTTGTACTCAAAGGAACTTAGCGTTGAGTAGATATGCATGGAATTGTGCTGTGCTTAATTGCTCCCCTTTTTAATTCATGGACTGGGAAAAACTAGATTTAGTGATGGAAAAAGAACTCTGAGTTTGACAGTATGGAGATGCACAGGATTTTTCCGTGAGTGTGTATAGGGGCTAAGCTGCCATGTACAAGCACTCTGTGTTTGTGACTGGTGCATGCAGGTACACCACTGTGATGCATCTGTTGCACTTCCCTTGGGTATGTTTCCTGTCGCTTTGCATCAGATCCCATGACATTTAAAAGGCCACACCGAGTACCAGAAGTCCCTGGGAAGTCCCTGGGAGAAGAGCATTATATTCAAGAGGCACGATGAACATCGACAAAGCTTTATTTGGAGAGAGGGAAAAGCTCATCCCCCCTCCCCCACACCCCAGGAATAAGAGAGCAAGAAAAAAACTAAATGCACAAACATAATACAGCTAACTTAAGAATATCGTATTGCATATTTTATGGCATTACCACCTGTACTGTAATGCTGACAATTTCATGTGACTTGCTTGGAATCATTTCCTACATCTTGGAAGCATTGGTGCACGATCTCTCAAGCGGCCCTGCCTAACCTGGTGCCTTCCAGATATTCTGGATTACAACCCTCAGCATCCTGACTCTTGGCAATGCTGGCTGGGGCTGGTAGGAACTGTAGCCTAAAACAACTGGAGGGCACCAGGCTGAGGAAGGTGCTCTGGAGGGCACCGGTGGGGAGTGTCTTTTGCAGAGGGGAGGAGACCTGTGGATGCTGCATCATGGTTAGGGCTCTAGAAGGGGCTGGATTACTCACATAACTGCTCACATTTTATCAGCCACTTGTTACACCGGCAAACAATCCAACTTCTGTAGGATTTTGAACTGCAGCAATATTACTTGGGAATTGGGCATCTGCTTTTCTGGAACTGTACATTTTGTGTATGTGTATCATTTGAAAACAGCAACCAGGTTAACATCTGAGGACTGGTCCACCATTTCTGGCAGAGGCAAGGCCAGGGCTGAGAATGGCCAAGACGGAGAGATGGGCCCCCTGGGGCTTGTTTCACACTGGGCAGAGCAGGTGTCATTCTAGCTGCAGCCGGAGCCCGCAGCCCTTTCGCTGATTGCTTGCACCCGCGCAGTGGCCCCAGCCACTCTTGTGTTCTCTACGCAACACAGAATAGATTCAAGCACATTCAGAACAGGGCCGTCACTACAACATATGAGAAAACGACGTTCTCAACTCCAAGTTCTGTGCTAAGAGAAAATGAGGAAAGGCTCCACTTAGGCTCACTAAAATGTCAGGATCTCTTCAAACATACCCACAGAAACACCCTCTTTAGCCTTTCCTGGATTGCACCACTGCTGCACCCAGCTTCACAGGCCCACCTGCCTTTTCCCAAAACAGAAGACCACCAGGAGGCTCTTTAATACTGCAGAGTCAGACCTCTCTCACAAGGTCAGACTCTCTCACAAGGTTGGTCTCCTAGCAGGGTCTCCCAAGGTGGAACAGTCAAAGCTGAGACAACAGACTAAGATGTATCCAGCCGCTTCAGAAGTAATGACCACATCAACAGGAGAAAATGGGTAGCTCTAATGGTGATGGGGGTGAGGCCTGTGGGAGGATGAGGGGTGGTCATTGATGGGGGCAGAGACCGGCAGGGCCCTTGTGCGTTTATTTCAGCAAGCACCCATGGGCAGCGGAGTGGCGGGACAGATGTCTCCTAGAGATTCGGGGTTCCAGATGAAAGATCTGGAGATCCAGCCCTAGTGAGAAGCCCTCAACAGCACCTTCGGCTGAACTGTATCTGCACATTGCTGCGATTTTTTAAAATGGGTATTAACGCAGGAAAAAATTGGAACTAGACCTGACTAAGAAATAGTATGTACTCACTAGTGCCCAAACTCACCTGACTGAACTCTTGGATTTTTATATTGTTTCTTATGACACCGCAATTACTTCCTTACAGGAAGACCCCAAGAAGAGTTAACACACCCAGATACTGGGCATGTTAAGGGTTGCTATAACTTTATTCTTTGGCTAAAAACACTGAAAGGCAGGAGCAGGCTCATTTCTCGCCAATGAGCAGAACAGTGGCTGCACAGGTCAGCTCATGTCTTGGGTTCCACAAGGGCTAGTGACTTGCATTAAAAACCAAACCAAACCAAACCAAACCAAACCAAACCAAACCAAACCTGGAGATCTCAAGGTTATGAATCACTGGGTGAGGGCATCTGCATCGTCTTGCCCCTTCCCGAAGACCCACACTTTACAGTGCAATCCTATCAAAAGCAAGTCCCATTGAGGTATTTGCAGCCAGGCACAAGACCTCTGCCATGCCGCTGGCAGAGCAACAGCCGGACCCCAAGCCTGGCCAGCTCTCTGGGGCCAGAGTGGGAGCCTTTTTCTGTTCCTCTTTTCTTTTCTATCCATGTCCCATTGCCCATGCCTGGAGGGAATGAACTAGGGCTGGTGCAGGTTCAGAGCCTCTTTGGGGATTTCTTGGGTGAATGAGTGGTTTGGGTTCTTGCAGGTCCAGGACCTGTTGAGTATGCCAGAGTGAGAGGTTATTATTAAGTCTTAATCTTTTGACACCTCTTTTATTTCAATTTACCTGCTTGAATTGACGCTGTTCTTGCTTTGGTGCCACGTATGCAAAAACTGAAATAATACAGAGCAAGTTAGCCTGGCTGCTGTGCAAAGAAGATGCACGCGTTTCAAGGAAGGGCTGCCGCTCAATGGTAGAGCAGATACCATGCCTGCCAAAGGCCCCAGGTCCAATCCACAGCAGGTATGGCTGGGAAATGAAGTCCTCGAAGGCTGCTGTCAGTCAGAAGGCACACGTGGCTGTGCACTGCTGCTATTTTTAACAGAGTGGCGTGTGTCACATTTGTTATTCCGCGAATGGGTTTATGTACGCTGGATGGCACTCATTAACAGACGGGACCCAGATATGAATGCAGGGCTAATTCTCCATTATAATGTCAGGCGAGTTCATACTTGTTGCTTATTTCTGAGCAAATGACATCAGAGGTAACTGAAGTGTAAATGCAGCTGCGCCAGCAAGACAATTGATCATATCACTCCTACGTCAGATTTGATGCCATCCATCAACCAACATGTTCTGCTCACTCAATAGCACAGGCAGAACAAGATGTGGTAAGTTTGTGAGTGAGGCTCACAGGCAGCACAGCCCCGGCTACCTCTGGGCTTTGTTCTTCAGCTGCAGTGGCCTGGAACACTGGGCCATGGCATGTTTTAGGTTCCTGTGAAAGACCTTCTCTGATGGCTTGTGCTGCCCGTTTGCAAGTGACAGGAATGCATGGATTTTGTTTGTTTGTTTATTATTTGCATTTATATGCTGCCACAACAGCCCAAGTTGGGCTCCCTGTGTGACTTACATCCATTAAAACAACTTAACATTCTAAAATCTAGAGTACTAAAAGCATTAACAAAATAAGCAGCATACAAAATGTAATCAACAAATTAAAATCATTGCAATATATGCAAAAATAACATTGCATGAAAACTTTAAAGAATTGATTTAAACTAAAATATTACTATAGGCCAAGAACAGGGTCAAATTAAAATCAAGATTACCATTAAAATCAACTGTTAAAATAGTCAGAGAAAAGATATGTCCTCACTTGGTGGCAAAATGTCAACCCTACCCCATCCATGTTCCAAGGATTGTCAAGAGACTTTCATTCTGGTGTCTGCTCTTTGATGGATTTTAAAAATCAGCTTTTCATTCTACTTGTGCTAATTCATGTCCGTTAATGCGGATTAGTGCTAATGCCTTCCAAAAGTAAAAAAATGGTCTGCAAGTCCATGGCATTCAAGTGAGTAAGAAAAAGTCAGTCCATGGTAAAATCCAGAGATCAAACTCATAAAAATCTGAATTCATTTGAATCTGCTGCAGGTTGCTCCAACATACCTGGTCAGCACATCCCCAGCACTCTTGTGTGTCTGTGCATCCCGGAGGAACATCAGGGGTGGTGATGGTGACCAAAACATCTGTCAAGAAAAATCATGTGCCTTTGCTTATCTCTGCAATGCAGAATATCTAGTAAGTTTCCGAGGAATCTGTGGATGTCAGTTCCCTGGAGCATAGCTGGCAGTCTGTCATGGTATCGAGCTAGTGCTTCCCGGTGGCAACCCATTACTGCTGAGTCATTCCCACAGAAACAGAGTGTTTCAAGGTAGGTGAGGAGATCCTTTTTATTAGCCCAACCTTTGTAATGTGATTTGCATCCAACCTTTGATCTTCATGCTTTTTCTTCACTGGTGCTCTCAAGGAAGGAAGGAAGGAAGGAAGGAAGGAGGGAGGGAGGGAGGGAGGGAGGGAGGGAGGGAGGGAAGGAAGGAAGGAAGGAAGGAAGGAAGGAAGGAAGGAAGGAAGGAAAGAAAGAAAGAAAGAAAGAAAGAAAGAAAGAAAGAAAGAAAGAAAGAGAAGCATAGACTGTGAACTCGAAAGCTAGCAGATTCTCCACAATAAAAGCATGACAGTTGTGTACACAATTAATTTTGTGTTCCTTTCAAGGTTGCTTTTGCATTTAAAATATGTGTATGCCATCTTTAGGATGCTGGGTGGATCTCATAAAAATAACTCCCATTCAGGAACCAGTTCTGTTCTTGAAAAGACTGGCAGTAAGTCCTGTCTCTTGAACCTGTAGCTAGAAGGTTCGTGGATGTTATGAAAAAGACAAACAGCATGAATAAAAAGTAAAGGCAGACAGATTTTGCTTCACTCTTTCATTTGACCAGAGGCAATGCTTTATTGCCTCCAGACAAACTTACTTTCCTAAGCAATTCTTAAACATAACCTGTGGGCTCATGTTACCTCTGAAAGGAAAAATAAACTTGGGGAAGTTTAAGTAACAGAATACACTTGCTGCTAATGAAAACTGTTTCATCACAGTCAGGCAGTTCAAACAGGTTAACAAAAGCTTTTCATTTAAATGACTACTGATGACAACCAGGAGAAATCAAGTAAGCAGCCATTGTCCTGTCCTGTCCTCTCACAGAGACCACACCTTCGGAGGGAAACTTGTCAGCTGCAGAACCAGTTGTTATTTCTGCATGATGCTGGGCTGACTCACAGAGCAGCCGGTGATGAAGGAGATTAGCAAAGCAATTGAGGCATCGGCCCAGCTCCTTGGAGCTCGTGAAGAGAGGGCAGAATGCCCATCGACCAGAGATAGAATAACCAGACCTCAGGGGCCTTATCCAGGTGGCCTGGATTGTACCATCTTGCCACAATATTAAAATCTATGGATTGGAGACTTCTGCTAGTATTTAGATGCCATAATTGGCCCTGACTCATCAGATAGAATGCTCGTCCTTTCACATGTAGGAATGTCTCCTTAGTCATGTTTGCAAAAATAAAGAAGTGTAGCGTTGTATATATATTCACAAGATGTATTACATTTATCTGTGTCACAAAAGAGTTCCGACATAATCACAGCTTAAGATGCATCCAATTCTTTCCCTTTCCCCTCTCACTAGATTCCTTGTTAAATGGGAGGATTGAATTTCATTAGGATTCTCAGCCTACCATGACCTTTTTAAACAGAGCATAATAAAAAGCACAGCACAAATCTGATACCGTACAGCAACTCATGTGGGGCCAGCAGGTGACATGACTTGATGGTTGTGTTGACCAGGACTCTATCTTCATTCGGAATTGAAAACAGCAATACCACAGACTTGTACGCAGCCTTTGCGGACCTGAGTTTGGAGAACAATCATAAACATTCTTCTAGCCTATCAGTACACTTCCTTGACCTATCAGTACACTTCCTTGTACAGCTGAGAAGTTGCTCAGTGAAAGATTTCAGTGAAATCTTAACCTGTGCTTTTTCCAAGCTAAGCTCTTTCAGTGCCATCCTGAATGTTAAGTGTAATACAGTAATTAAATAGATGTGCAGATCTTTTCCCTGATCAAGACTTAGGTTAGCTTACCGGCTAATGGTGTTAGAAGTATTCTAATAATTAACTGCTTGCGCAAGCTTTTATGGACTTGTGTGGGCATTAGATCAGTTCCTGTATAAAAGCAGAAACTGGGGTGTTCAGAATGATCACAGATTACTCCTTTCATGACTTATTTTATTATTTATTTTATTTGGGGCATTTTTATCCTATCCTATACAAAAGTCTCAGGATGGCTTCATTTCATCTTCTGTCTTGTTGTGGCTGGACTCATTGTTAGCTTTACTTAGCACTGCAGTGGAAGGAAACGGCCCCGAGTCCTTGTTTGTAGTTTGAGGGCCTCCTTGAACGGCAGGTTTAAGCTATACCTGGTGGCGTGCAATGTTACATTCGTCAGCATGAACTACAACACTTGAAATACAGCAGCCTGCATCTTGGAAAGTGTGCCTACTGCTCAGCATCCTTTGCAGATGATCCATGGCCTCTGCCTGCCGCTTCATAGGGAACTTGAATCTCTTGCTGCAAGGACAAAGTGAAATCGAATGCGCCGTAAAAGCCACTGTGGAGTTGCCGCATATCCACATGTGATACTTCAGCTCAAAGAACAGCGACTGCATTGGGCTTCAGTGACTGACAAACACATTATTAATGCTCAGTCATCAAATGCTTTTGATTAAGGAGAGAAGCCCCGCCACACTGTATAAAAGCAGCCCCCCTCGCTGCTCACAGTGTGCTCTTCTTGAGGCTGCATTTTGCAAAAAGTGAGGGCAGCTCTAAAAAGAGATGAACTGCATCAGAGCTATGTTTTATTCTTTCTGGGAATTGAGTTTCAAAGGAGTGGGGAGAAGACTTGCCCATGTTCTGATGTAATAACTGTTACATCAAGAGACATTAATTGTTAATTATGTCTCATCATTGCAAAATGTGATGACTGTTTACACTTCGCTTCAATGCATCCTGAATTCATAGCAACTGAATATAGTTGCACTGAGCATCTTTATAAAGGACACATATTCACATTCACACTTTAAGGAGAATTTGGCTGTACAGCTGCAGTGGTTCAGAAAGGGGACTTCTCTCTCTTACTTCTCTCCTTCTCAGAAGAGAGGACCAGAGGAACATTACTAGATGTAGCAAAGCAACCATTGCAATTCATTGATCTTAGCTGGCTCAGGATCACTTTCAAGATAGCTAAAGGGCCATTCAGAAATAAATGGCATGCTGGTTGAAAGGGCCTGTGCTGAACTGAGCGAGTGGTGCATTCATACCCAAAGCAGCCCACCCTGGGGCCATCTAGGTGTTTCGTATTAGGAAGTCTGGCCCTGTTGGTTGGAACTGGCAGAAGCAAACCCCCAAACATGTCAAGGCACCGGCTTGGGGAAGGCTGCCTCAGAGGTACAGGAAGTAATCCATGGGTGTGGAGGGTGAGAATTTAGTTTGGGCCACATTTTTCATGAAGCTATCCTAATCCATGCTTTTCAGACAAATATGTCAACGGAAGCATAATTATTGCTCAGATTCTGCACTTCCCAGAATTTTGCAATGCAGTTTTCACCTCAGATATCACATTCAGAAATGCATGTCTTGGAGAAAGTGTATATTAAGGGAAGCTTTGCATAATGATGCTTATCTATGTCTATATCTATATCAATCTATAGCAATATATCTATAATCATATCCATATCTATACCTGAAGTTACACTTAGAATGCATGATAATAACTAAGAGCAATGGCAGTGCAAGAGGCTGGATACATTTCATTTCCTTTTTTAACTTCTTTGACAGTGACATGAAAAACAGGCTCTTTCAAAGCAACTTTCTGTAGAGTGGGCCTGTGCCCATGAAAGCTTATTTTGCCACAGTAAATTGGTGAGTCTTTAAGGGGCCATAGAACATTGTAGCTTTTGAACACGAAAGGGGAACAGAAAATCCCCTACCTTCTTCCAGCAGAATCTGGCCATAAGGACCATGCAAAAAGCAGCTGCACTTCCGAAAGTTGATTTCAGAGCCAAGAAGCCGCAGTGCCATTAGGCAAGCTGCTCACTTGTATGTTGCCTTGTCCCAGATTCAGCCATTGCTGCACATTCAAACCCATTTTGCAAGGAAGCCCATTTCTGCTCTTTTCCCCACAGGAAGCAGCCTGGGCCGGCTTAAGAAAGAATTGAAGAAGCCCTCCAGCCCACCATTTGATATGTGGACAAAGCTAGTCCATCTGCTCTTCTTATCTGGGTCTTGCTGCCTGCAGTGGTCCAGGACACAAGGTCAGCTGTCCAGTGACAATTGGCTGGGCAGGGCTCTGCAGAATCTGGTGCACCATGAGAAAGTCGTGGGGCAGTGGGGCTCTTAGGCCATCCTGGCCTCTGGACTTATGCAAAGAATGAGCGAAACTATGGAAGGGATGGCAGGAGCCTCCCCTCTCGACCAACAGCCTGTTCCCTGCATGTTACTCTCTCTGTTTAGTGATTGAACCTCACAAGCTGCTCATAACTGCAAGGCTACTGAGTTTAGAGGGCTTGTATTAAGGGAGATTAGGGGAAACAGGGCAGTTCCAAAGATCTGAGGCCCATCCATAGTCTATCACAGCCCATGTGGTCCGTAGTCCGTGTCCTATCACTGCCCACCTGCCCAGTGATCCATAGTCTATGGACATGTCACTGCCCATGATTTGCACATACATGCTTTGTAATAATTCCAGCATATATGTGATAAAGAAGGTTTATTGAAGGTATTTCTACAATGGGCGAGGTGCTCAGCCTGCCAGAAGATGAACAGAACTGCAGCATTCCTTTCTGTGGGTTTCTGAACAGGTGTGGTGAGGTTCTCCTCCTTTCTTGAATGGACAACAGTCATTCAGCCTAGCCACTGTCATGTCTGCATGTTGGTAGAAACAGCACATGGCCAGGAATTATCAGCATTCACAAAGTTTTGTCCAGCTCTTTTGTTCAAAGATGTCCTTACAAAGTGCATTTGTGTTCAAACAAATGTTCTCAAACAGGATCAAATGGGAAAAGCTTTCACATATGGAAAGCATCAATGGGAATACTTCTCACAGCCATTTTATGGATGCCAAGTAGTAGGGATGAACACAAAATGCCAGAAAGAACTGCTTTCATGTTTTGGCAGGCTGGTTTAATGAAATGCCTTATCTAGGGTGGCAAGTATTCACTTCTTTGGTTGGCTGCAATCTGACCCACACAGTACATTTCAGAGCCCAGGTGGACGATCCAGTCTGAAGATAAAATTAAATCTGATTTTTAAAGAAACATTGAAA